GATAGAAACAGGATAAAGCTAGGGGTAGCTGGGTGGTAGTAAAACCAATAGAGGGTATTCCATTCCTGGAAGTCTGACATCAAGCACAATAGCAATGTCGTATTTAGTTTTTCTCAAGCATACCTATTTTATTAAATGCTTCCTGTAGCTCTTCCAGCTCTTCCCGAGAAATGGTAGTGGTACTGTTTTCCATCTTCAAAGAAAAGACTACCTTCAGGTCTTTATAGCTAGAAAAAACAATGTTATAAAAAGAACATTAGCCCTTTGAAAACATTTATCTAAGCAACACAGAATACACAGGCAGTAAAATCTCTAGAAGAAATCACCTGAGAAGTCTGCCTGACAAGGAACAAATAGGAACAGATACCCCATAACACTATTTCCCAGCATAGGTGGGCCAGACAATAAGAGAGTCCACAGAGGGAAGGAATGGAAGGAATGCCTGTCTTTTACACCTTGTCCTTACACAGGGCATACATGTTTCCCAGTAGCCTGTACAATTTTCATTTACATTGTACCCCGCTCCTTCAGTAAAATAAACATTTCAAGTTTGAGAGAAGGGTAGCATTTATAAATGTAAAGGAAGTGGTCAGGAAGTAAAATGTTAAGACATGAATAATGTCCACAAAAAGAATAAAGTAAGCACATAATTTTTCAAATAATTTATACATTAACATTTTCACTGATCAGTTAAAAATCGTTTTAAATTGTGTGAAGTCCTCGAAGAGTGTTACGGCTCATTTGTCACTTGTATACATACTTGCTTAGGAATTTGGGGGGGGGGTTCTTCCCCAAATTTCTGTATCTTACAGTTATTCTGGGGCCTGGTTCTAATTAACGTATAATTAAATCTTCGGGTTTTAAAAAATATACCATTGCCCACTATTTAATTTTTAATTTTTTTGAATGTTTATTTATTTTTGAGAAAGAGAGACACAGTATGAGTGGGGTAGGAGCAGAGTGAGAGGGAGACACAGAATCCAAAGCAGGGTCCAGGCTCTGAGCTGTGAGCACAGAGCCTGACACGGGGCTCGAACCCATACACCGTGAGATCATGACCTAAGCTGAAGTCCAATGCTTAACCGACTGAGCCACCCAGGTGCCCCTATTTAATTTTTAAATAAATTAAATAGTCATGAGTAACTTTTTCTTTCTTTCTTTCTTTCTTTCTTTTTTCAACGTTTATTTATTTTTGGGACAGAGAGAGACAGAGCATGAACGGGGGAGGGGCAGAGAGAGATAGGGAGACACAGAATCGGAAACAGGCTCCAGGCTCTGAGCCATCAGCCCAGAGCCTGACGCGGGGCTCGAACTCACGGACCGCGAGATCGTGACCTGGCTGAAGTCGGACGCTTAACCGACTGCGCCACCCAGGCGCCCCAATGAGTAACTTTTTCAAGGTGTCAAAGTGAGAAACTCATTGCTTCATCACTAAGCTGTCATCGAACCAAACTGTGTTTCATTCTTGTCTCTAGGTCCGTGTACTCTGCATTCTCCCAAATATAATGTGGTCACAAGCCATATAAACACATAAATGTGTATTTGAATAATAATATACATTAATTTATGTAATAATATATAAAGTATATATTATATACTTGTGAAATAAAAATTTGCATTTTAAAAGAAAGCTGCCTTTGTAAAATTCTTTGTAAAGTTTTGGAGGAAGAATTCTTGCTAGATCGACTCATATTTATCAGGCACATCATTTGCCAGTCCTGAAACCCTCCAGAAGGCAGTTACTAGAATTCACTTTGCAATTTTAGAAATGAGGAACACAGCATTTAACCAGCTTCCAAACACCCAGCATGGAAGGAGTCCTACCTGGATGCCTGAGACAGCTCAGAAGAGCACAGTGTTTCAGAGTCATCTTGAAAGATGCAGCCCAAAGGCAGCCAGGATCACTGACCAGAGACTCACCAACAGGGCAGGTTATGTTGAATTCTATAGACAGATGTATCTTCCCATAGATTTTGTTATGTGCCATATATTTCTTCAGTAATTCCAAAACTGCTTTCCTTCTCCACTTTGTTTTTTTAGCCCATATAATTTAAACAACTTTCTTTCACCAATTAAAGCCTTTCTCCCCCACTCCTAATCCTCAAGGGTATCCTGACATAACAAAGTATATATTTAGAAAGTTAAGGAAGTATATTCTAAAAATGAACTTCCCAATTAGATGAAATGGGATCTGATCTTTTATCCTCCCTCAAATTTCTAACTTACATGAACCTCTAAAAGCTTTACCAAAATTGGGGCACCCGGGTGGCTCAGTCAGTTGAGTGTCCGACTTTGGCTCAGGTCATGATCTCACGGTTTGTTGGGTTCAAGTCCCGCAGCTAGCTCTGTGCTGACAGCTCAGAGCCTGGAGCCTGCTTCCGATTCTGTGTCTCCTTCTCTCCCTCTCTCTGCCCCTCCCCACCCTCAAAAATTTAAAAAAAAAAAAAAATTACAAAAAATTTTTTAAAAACTTTACCAAAATTATTCTAAGCAGCCATTTATAATTTATAGGATCTAAAACCCCAGGATCCAGAACAGTTTCAGCGAAAAGGCATTAAGAACAGCCCTTGAGACCAAGAAGATTCTGAAACCTTTCTACCAACTGTAAAGATCCCAACTGTGAGGGACCAAACCTGTTTTCACTGGCACCTTTTGGTTTCTGGGCTATTCTGTTTTCTCTCCTCCCCCTGTGGCCCTAGCCCTGGTCACCTGAGATCCTGAGTTCTTGAGGTAGCCGTTGACACAGAGGAGGCAGCCTGCCCCCTAATCTATCCTCCAAAATTCCCTTTTTTCCTTACTTCCCCCTTCTCTAGTAATATAAAAAATAATGGCAAATATTTACTGAGGGCTTTCAATGGGCCTGGAGCTATGCTAATGTCATACATGAGCTTACTATGTATTGATCTGTTCTTCTATTGATTGAACAAGTGTCCTCCCTTAAATGTAAATTAGAGGGTTGCACAGGTTACCTAAGGAAGGTTTAAAAAAGAGAGAGAGAGAGAGAGAGAAAGAGAGAGAGAGAGAGAATCAACATCAAATCTGTTTCTAATGCCTCCAAACCCTTAAAATCTACATGTAGTTCAATTAGCATCCCTATTCTCTCACTGCAAGCATCACAGGTAGTTTTAAAGAAAAGACTGATGACCACTTCACACTTAAGTATAGGTGACTGATAAACCTTTACAGTGCTCATCAGATTTATATTTTAAAGGCAAAACTTTTTTTAAGGATATGAGGGAATTTTTTTTTTAAAGTTTATTTATTTTGAGAGAGAGAGCGTGCACAGCAGGGAAGGGGCAGAGAGAGAGGGAGAGAGAGAGTCCCAAGCAGGCTCCGCACTGACATTGAGGAGCCCAACATAGGGCTTGAACTCACAAACCGAGAGATCATGACCTGAGCTGAAACCAAGACTCGGATGCTTAACTGACTAAGACACCCAGGCGCCCCTTAAGGGCAAATTTATATTTTAAGGGCAAATGTCTGTTTTCTTTAGACTAACAGATGAATACCTTATTAGACTATTTATACATCAGCAAAATAAATGAACTACACCCGTTTCTTAAAAACATAGTAACTGGAAAAAGCAAAGTGCTAAGAGATACATACGGTATATGTACCAATTATTGTGAATTATAAAAACACATGTATGTACTACATATGTTGCCAAACATATATAGTAAAACTTAAAAACACATGGGAATGATGCAACAAATTCAGAATAGTGGTTGTCTATGGAGAAGTAGGAAAGGGGCACAGCTGGGAGCTGGCGCTGGATCCATTACATTTTTTTAAGAGAAATTTGAAGCAATTATGGCAAAATTTAACATCTGTTCAATCTGAGCATTCAGTATATGGATACTGGTTATACTGTCTCTGTACCTACTTTAAGAATTGTTTTGTTTTAAATAATTCACGAGATAATTTTTTAACTTTTAAGTTCAGATAGTAAAAAAAATAATACATAAATAAAATAATAAAGGTAACACAAGAATATGTTTTGAACAGGAGAAAATTTCCCAAAGTCCCTCAGGACATGGGGAAACATTTTTTCAAGTACTTCAATCTTAAACAGTCAAAACAGTTAATATTATTGTAGAAGAATAATTTATTGAAATATCAAATTGTGTTTCTTCTCCAAGAAGAATTGTGTTTCTTCTCCCCCGCCCCAGTCACACCCCTCAATTAAAGTAGTAACTACCTCTTGTCAGGCACGCTGGCAGCACAGAAAGCAAAACCAGCCTGGAATCTGCAGTTCCGAGTCCTCGGGTAGAAGCACAAACCTCCTCAGGGTTTACTGGGTGTTCTGGGAATGGGGCAGCAGGAGGAGGAAATCCCTGAGAAGCCACTAGATAATGAAGACAGAGAGAGGGAGAAATTGTCTCCATGGGCAAACAGGGAAATCTGCAGATGCCAGCAAGGAAGACTGTGGCCACAGGGGTGGCAGAGACAGGGGCAGACAAGGTACAGGAGAATCCGTGCTGAAGGAATGCACCGTTGTGAGTAACGGGCATTTCCCAGGCAGACACTGGGGACTGATGATCCAGGACAGAAGAGCTTCCCGCGAGCCTCTGCTCTGTTTAAGACCCCAGGACAAGAGAGGCTGAGGGGCAGATTCCAGGTGCCTGAGAAGCACTTGACTGACTCAGGCAGGATGAGCCATCACAGTCAAAATGAGAACAAACTGAGGGTTGATGGGGAGGTGGAGGAGAGGGAAAGTGGGTGATGGGCATTGAGGAGGGCACCTGTTGGGATGAACACTGGGTGTTGTACGGAAACCAATTTGACAATAAATTATATTTAATCTAAAAAAATAAATTTGCTTTAAAGAACATACACAAATGTGATATTTCTTTCATACCTGACTTTTATGGGAAAAGCCTGTCCTTTTTTATGGAAAAAAAAATCCTCCAATTCTCTGGAGAAGTGCCTAGGCTCAGAGGTTCTGGAGCATGGCAGTATCTCTGGGAGGGGCAATACTATGGCATCCTATATCTTCCCCCTCTTCTTCATAAACTTCTCATCTCCCACCGCAATGTTCCACTTTTCTTACTATGTTCTATTTTCAGCTCCCCAGTACAAGTTTAAAGATCACAAGGTCAGTAGAATAAGTCACTATATGAAAAAAATAAGCAGCTAAGAAATATGACTAAAGAGTTTCCTTTTTAGTTTAAAGGAAACCTAGAAAATACTTTC